CCGTGTTAGCCAGGATGGTGTCGATCTCCTGACCTCGTGGTCTGCCCGCCTCAGCCTCCCAAAGTGCTGGGATTACAGGTGTGAGCCACCGTGCCCGACTGGAGACAAGGTTTCACTGTGTTGCCCTGGCTGGTCTTGAACTCCTGGGCTCAAGCAGTCTGCCCACGTTGGCCTTCCAAAGTGCCTGACCTCACTCCCCTTTTTTTAACCACACAGTTTGTTCAAGGATATATTCTTGTACAAGATTCAAGGGGTGCAGAAGTAAAACATGGAAATTTGCCCTCCCCAGAGCTCACTTCTGTGGCCAGTGGGGTGCAGGCTTCCAGCCCTCTGCGTGCTCATGGTCATAACACGTGCACCTAAACACATGTGTTTGTGAAACATTGCCCTGCCGTGGGGAACGCAGTGGGCTTCCAGGGCACTTTGCGCCTGCCAGGCTGGAATCTTGGACTCCTCTTGTTGACACACAGATATACCCCTGATGCTCGATGTCCAGTGAGGAACCGAGGCTGCAGAGAAGGGTGGCCCCCACCGTTCCTCTTGTTACCAGGCCTCAGACACACTAGGAGGATGGAGGCGAGTTCTGTCAGTTGCTCATTCCACTGAGAGGTGCCCGGCCGTCAGTGTCTTGTCTGCACTTACAGATGGTCCTGGAGCCTCTACAGCTTGCCCCCCAGAGTGGGCACTGCTGGGAGGGTGCAAGCGCCACTGCTGCACGGAGGCCCGGTTCTTGGCCGGATCTTCAGGGGCTTGGGCCTGCCCCAAGGTGGTGGGGACAGGGTGTGGTCTGGCCCTGCTGGGGGTTGCTAGGCCAACCGGGACCCTCCCCAAGCGTGCCGCACACTGCAGGGTCTCCAGGCACCTGGGCTCAGCTAGTGCCTGACTCATTTGTTTGATAAATTGACCTCGTGGTCTGCCCGCCTCGGCCTCCCAAAGTGCTGGGATTACAGGCGTGAGCCACTGCGCCCAACCGAAAAGGTTTTCGTCAGTCATATATGTGTGGCAAATACAGAGAAGCCACGACAACGAGGAGAGCTGCTGTTTGGGTAGGCTCAGGGTGCTGCTTTCCCTGAGGGCCAGGTGGGTCTGGCCCAGGGTGAAGTGGAGGATTCACTTCCCACCATGGTTCCTCCCATACTTGCTGCCTCCAGCCTCAGGTTCTGAAAGGCAGAGGCTCCTAGCCTCGTTGAAGGATGGCTAGAGAGGCACAGGAGATACCTAGGGGCAGGCGCATGGTATATGTTTACTGCTTTCTACAAATATGAGATCAAAAGAGAATAAAGCAGGGGTGGTTCCTATCAGTGTGGACCGAGCCCCAGGAAAGCCTCCTGGTGGCTGTCGGGACTTGCTCACAGCCCCTTTCTCTTTCAGGGAGAGGCTCCTCCACAGTGGTATCCTGCTGCGTGCCCCTCCAGGACAGCACCCAGAGGCCCGAATTGCTGCCACGCAGAGAGCACTCGGCCTCACCCCACGTTTTCCTTAAGTTCTGTCTAGTAATTCCACTTTGGAGAGGGGGATGTTGCTTGACAGATTTAAGAGAGTTGATGTAACTTCCTTGGATCAGTTGTGTTGGCTCCATCCCCTGCCTGCTCAGCCCTGCACAAAGTGGCTAAGCACACCAGACTGCCCGGCTCCAAAGAGGATGGCCACCTGCCTCTGTCTCGGCCAGTAGTGGCAGGAAGATGGAAATCCCTCACTTTGAATGTCCCTAGATTCATTTTATTTTATTTTTGTTTGTTTATTTTATTTTAAGGACGGAGCCTTGCTCTCACCCTGGCTGGAGTGTGGCAATCACAGCTCACTGCAGCCTCGGCCTCCTGAAGCTCTGGCATCACAGGCGTGAGTCACTGTGCCTGGCCCCATAGACTCATACTGGCATAAACAAATAGGAAATGTACACAGCTCAGGAAATGGTTAGTAGATACTTAAGTCCCCCCAAACAGAAATATATTTCCTCTGAAGAGCGCAGTGGCTCATGCCTGTAATCCCAACACTTTGGAAGGCTGAAGCGGGCAGATCACTTGAGGCCAGGAGTTTGAGACCAGCCTGGCCAACGTGGTGAAATCCTGTCCCTACTAAAAATACAAAAAATTAGCTGGGTGTGGTGGTGCATGCCTGTAATCCCAGCTACTCAGGAGGCTGAGGCAGAAGAATCACTTGAACCCAGGAGGCGGAGGTTGCAGTGGGCCAAGATTGTGCCACTGCACTCCAGTCTGGGCAACAGAGCAAGACTCTTATCTCAAAAGAAAAAAAGAAAAGGCAAAGTTATTTTTTCTCTCTAACTCATAACTGGGGCCAGAGTCAGGGTGACATCACTGGGAGTGCCAGTGTGTGGAGGCGTCCCCTGACCAGTCCACAGTCACTGAGGGCAGAAGCTGCGGTGCACAGACTGCATTGTTCTGGCGTGGACGGTGCGGGGGGGTCCCACAAAGGCCTTGCCAGCTCATGGGACCCCATTGGCAGCCAGCATAGTGGTAGAAGCCTCAGACGGGCAGTGAGCCGTTGCCAGGACCCCATGGTCCCGTGGTGTCTGTGGCCACCAAACAGATGACAGAACCAGCCCCTCTTGTTCAGCCACCTAGGAGGCTGCTCCCAGGTCCATTGAGCTTGAGGATTCTTAACCACTCACCAGCTCTCTTCAGTTCCCCTTCAAATGCTGTTTTATCTCAGTGGAACGTACTACGCCCTGTATTTCCTCGCCACGCTCCTGATGATCACGTATAAAAGTAAGTCAGGCTGGGCGTGGCAGCTCACGCCTGGAATCCCAACACTTTGGGAGGCCGAGGCGGGCGGATCACTTGAGGTCGGGAATTCGAAACAAACCTGGCCAACATGGGGAAACCCCATCTCTACTAAAAACAAAAAGTAGCCGGGCTTGGTGGTGGGCGCCTGTAGTCCCAGCTACTCAGTAGGCTGAGGTGAAAGGATTGCTTGAACCCACGAGGCGGAGGTTGCAGTGAGCTGAGATTGCGCCATTGCACTCCATCCTGGGTGACAGAGCAAGACCCTGTCTCAAAAAAAAAAAAAAGAAGGAAAAGGAAAAGGCAAGCTGAGGCGGCTCCTGCTGCTGCGCCAGGTAACTTGGGTTCCGTCTGCACCTCTGCTCTCCAGGTCAGGTGTTCAGCTGTCCTCACCACTACCTGGTCCTCGATCTTGCTCTGCTGTTTCTGATGGGGATTCTGGAAGCATTGCGGTTATACCTGGGTGAGTGCACGTTAACACCGTGAAGAACCTGTCCTAAGAGTTGCTCTCTGTTACCACAGCCTTTCAATAGTAATTATTTTACAGTATGGTTCTCGGAGACGTTTTTTATCCAAACTGCTTACCCAGTTGCTTTGCAGGCTCACCTTACAGTGTCATTAAGTATTAATCGAGAAGTTTTGTCCCAGAGACAAACAACGCTGAGGGCATCGTTGGGAGAGTCTGTGTTTGGAAGTGTGTCTTGTAGAAGTCACTGGGTAATGGCACTGAGATCAGAAGCCCAGCCCACCACCACATCCGGAGCTCTGGAATTCACCAGCACCCCCTTCCCCTCGGCCTCGGCTGTCTGAGGAGAGAGCCCTGGAGAGTTCTGCCAGGTCCCAAAAGGCAGCAGAGTCTAGAGGGGTGGGAGCCCCCAGCGTCCCAAGTCCAGCTCTAGGGATCCCCAAGTCTACAACCCCTTCAAGTGACCTACTTTTTTTGAGAGGTCTCACTCACTTGCCCAGGCTGGAGTGCAGTGGTGCAATCACAGCTCACTGCATCCTTGACCTCCTGGGCTCGAGCAATCCCCCTGCCTCAGCCCTCCCCCTCTTCCCAAGTAGCTGGGACTATAGGCGCCCGCCACCACGCCTGGCTAATTTTTTTTTTGAGATGGAGTCTCACTCTGTCGCCCAGGCTGGAGTGCAGTGATGCGAACTCGGCTCACTGCAAGCTCCACCTCCCAGGTTCACAGAAGTCTCCTGCCTCAGCCTCCCGAGTAGCTGGGACTACAGGCGCCCGCCACCACGCCCGGCTAATTTTTTGTATGTTTAGTAGAGACGGGGTTTCACCGTGTTAGCCAGGATGGTGTCGATCTCCTGACCTCGTGGTCTGCCCGCCTTAGCCTCCCAAAGTGCTGGGATTACAGGTGTGAGCCACCGTGCCCGACTGGAGACAAGGTTTCACTGTGTTGCCCTGGCTGGTCTTGAACTCCTGGGCTCAAGCAGTCTGCCCACGTTGGCCTTCCAAAGTGCCTGACCTCACTCCCCTTTTTTTAACCACACAGTTTGTTCAAGGATATATTCTTGTACAAGATTCAAGGGGTGCAGAAGTAAAACATGGAAATTTGCCCTCCCCAGAGCTCACTTCTGTGGCCAGTGGGGTGCAGGCTTCCAGCCCTCTGCGTGCTCATGGTCATAACATGTGCACCTAAACACATGTGTTTGTGAAACATTGCCCTGCCGTGGGGAACGCAGTGGGCACTTCCAGGGCACTTTGCGCCTGCCAGGCTGGAATCTTGGACTCCTCTTGTTGACACACAGATATACCCCTGATGCTCGATGTCCAGTGAGGAACCGAGGCTGCAGAGAAGGGTGGCCCCCACCGTTCCTCTTGTTACCAGGCCTCAGACACACTAGGAGGATGGAGGCGAGTTCTGTCAGTTGCTCATTCCACTGAGAGGTGCCCGGCCGTCAGTGTCTTGTCTGCACTTACAGATGGTCCTGGAGCCTCTACAGCTTGCCCCCCAGAGTGGGCACTGCTGGGAGGGTGCAAGCGCCACTGCTGCACGGAGGCCCGGTTCTTGGCCGGATCTTCAGGGGCTTGGGCCTGCCCCAAGGTGGTGGGGACAGGGTGTGGTCTGGCCCTGCTGGGGGTTGCTAGGCCAACCGGGACCCTCCCCAAGCGTGCCGCACACTGCAGGGTCTCCAGGCACCTGGGCTCAGCTAGTGCCTGACTCATTTGTTTGCTAAATATGCAGTTTTGTTTTTAATACGTATCCATGAAATTTTCCAGAACTGGCCTTGGACCAGAGAAAAATATTTTGGGAATTTTTCAAAAAAATCCCTTCAGTTCCACTTGGAATTAGGAAAAGGTGGCAGATGCAGTTGAATCATTTTAGAAACCAAATTCACCCTCGCCCACACAGCCGACCCAGAAGACCCAGAGACAGATCACACTGGTTTTGCAGGGGCACTTGCCCCAGGAGGGGCTCACGCCCGTGCTGCACACGCTCTCTGGCTCTCCTGAGTTCTGGGTGGCCATGGGGGCTGTTTCCCTGGAATTCCCCAGGCCCCCGAGGAACGTAGGGCAAGGATCTGCTCTGGTCCCAGCAGCCTGCCAGGTACCTGCGGGCAGTGGGCTCTGGGGATCACCCTGCACCACCTTCACTCCCCCTTTTGCTCTGTTCTCCAGGTACCAGGGGCAACCTGACAGAGGCTGAGAGGCCGCTGGCCGCCAGCCTGGCCCTCACGGCCGGCACCGCCCTCCTCTCTGCCTACTTCCTGCTTTGGCAGACCCTGGTGTTGTGGGCAGACTGGGCCCTCAGTGCCACACTCCTGGCCCTTCACAGCCTGGAGGCCGTCCTGCAGGTGGCTGCCATTGCAGCCTTCACCAGGTAGCTGCGGGCACCCAGAACACCCCACACTGGGGCCCTCCTCCTGGGCCCGACCAGTCCCCCAGCTGTCACCTCCCCATTCCTGGACAGGAAGGGCACTTTTCCTAGCGCCTGGCCATAGATGGTTTCGGACGGCTCCATCTGTCCTGGCAGGGGTGGGAGCAGGAGCCAGAGCAGAACAAACTGCTGGAGGCCCTGGTGTTGGGAACAGCTGCAGGGAGGGTAGGGACCACACAGAACTGCCTTCAAGGTGAGTCCCAGGAGCGCACACTCAGCCCTGTCAGTGGGGTCTGGCTTCAGCAGCCAGGCCTCCATGGACCCTCATGGGTCCCCAGGGCTGAGAGGAGGACAGAGCCCTTCAGAACAGAGGCCTCGTCTCACCGCCTCCCCCATCACCCCCTAGTTCCCTGATGGTCCTAATTTGTGCTCTGAGAGCCCAGTTTACTCCATGGCCAGGCCCCACCTGTGTTTCCAAGTCCGGCTGGAGAAGCAGGATGGGGTAGGCCTTGTGCTTTGAGTGCCCCCAGCTCTGCCTCACAGGCAGGCAGGCCCCGGGGGCAAGAGTGCACTCTGGGTTCCTAAAGCAATAAATGCAAACAAGCCAACAGCTCTGGTGCTTGAGAATTTCCATCTCAGCCACACTCCTCCCTTTAGGGGCTTCGGAGGAGAGGTCAGGGCTGAGGCTGGGGATGGAACTGCAGGAGAGAGAGCAGCTGCGGGGCCCACATTCTGAGCCTCCGTCCACTCCAGTTTTAGCAACTTTTACCTTTTGCACTGAGTGCTAAACAAATTCTAGCTCTGTGATTTTTTTTCCCATTCCCAGATTTACTGTAAGTTCTCCTTAAAAAGTATCTAAGCTGTTATAGTAGCTTTCCCTTCATTTGGTTCTATTGTGTGTTCTCTATGTTTGGAATAATCACATCCTAATACCTAGATATTTTCTCTTCACCGCATTTTGTAAATAAAAGAGATGTGTATGTCTCCTTGAATTCTCCTAATTATGGCCACCTCCCCCACCCCATTGCCGGTTCTCCCACCCTTCAAGAGAGCACACCCTGCTTGCCAGCTGGTCAATTCCTGGCTGGCCTCGCCCTCGGGCCCTGGCTGCTGGGCGCCTTCCGTTCGGTGGACTCCTGAGGGCAGGAGGCTGCGGGACTGTCCTGGGCCTCCACTGGGGCTCCCTCAGCTGGGGTGGCTATGGCACCCGGACAGACTTTCCTGCCTGTCTTCGTGGAAGCGATAGGAGCACCCGGTTGTCCTGGGCGGACTTGCTTTGACCTGCCTATTGCCCCCAGAGGCCACGGTGAGGACCTGCAGGCTGACCTGCAGGACAGCCCTCAGGACCCGCTTCCCACCCCTGCGCCCTTGCAGCAGAACCACACACGCCAGCGCCTGAGCGCCTTAGGCCCCCTCCCTCACCAGCGCCTGCACTGGCAGAGGACCGGCTGGGCATGCCTGCCATCTGAAGGACTCAGCCCATGAACCATGCAGACCAGGGAAGGGCCTCCTCCCCAAGGCTGGAACCTGTTGCCTTCATGGTTAATGGATCCTGACACCTCCAGTCTCAGTGGGCACACAGGCAGTGGTCACCTGCTCCGCAGGGAACGCATGACTCCAGGTGGCCCGGAGTGGATGGGGCCTGAGAGGCCAGCCTGTACCGTCTCCTGAGGGCAGGCTCTGCACTCACAATCGTGTTGACAGGCACCCATTCAGGAGTGGAGAGGGACGCCCCCACCTCGCCTGTGCCCTCCAGCGCCTGTTTCCCACTTGGCCACTCCCAGCTCTGCCTCCAGGAAGGGTGAGGGCAAGGGTACACCGTGGGGTTGGCGTGTGTGACCCCTGAGCTCTGGGTCAGGGCAGGCTCATGCATGGAGCAGGATCTTGGCATGCAAACTGCAGGATCAAACTGCAAAGGCCATAAACCAGGAAGCCAGGCCTTGCCCGGGCTCAGGGGCAGGCACTGGGCCCGAAGGAGGAGGGCCACTTCCTGCCACCCCTCCGCCGAGCTCACCTGTGGCACCTCCCCAGGAAGTGCTCTGGCCAGAGCAGGGTAAACACGCTAGCCCTGCCCCTCTGGGACCGGGGCCCAGGGACCCAGACTCTTGGCCACACACATTCCCACCCCCTCATTCCCACCCCTACCCAGGACGGCAGCCGGAGCCTTGGGTCCCTGCATGCGCCTGGGGTGCCTTGTGCCCCTTCACCTCCTCGTCCAGTTTACTGCTGTGGCAGCCGGTGCTACCCGCTGTGTCCGCTGCACCCTGGCCTGTTCTGAGCGGTCAGAGCAGCTGGGCAGAAGGGCCATCCTGGGAGCCAGGTAGATGAGAACAGAACCAGACAGTCCCCCTGTGGTGGGCAGAGGGTGGGGCCTGGGCCTGGCCACGGGGCAGTGCAAGGAGAGGCATCCTGAGAGGGCCTTGGGTGTCCCCACCGCCCCCGACACCCAATCTCTCAGTGCCCAGGCTGGGCAGAAAAGGGACCTTGGAGGAGCCCCTGCACTGTAAGGAAGGGAGGCCCCATCCCACTCCGGGAGCTCAGGGCCCCAAGCCTGGGTCTGTGGCATGGTTGGGTCCTGCCTGACACCCACCCACTCACCGAAGCTTCTACCCCAGCTTCCCCAGACCTGGGGCGGGCCCGCTAAGGAAAGCGACTCTGCCCCACGCCTGGCGCACCTGAGAGGCGCACCTGGCTCGGCCAAGGCTCTGACCTCCCTAGGGCTGGAGCCCTCCCAGCATCACGCCAGCGCTGCCCCCGAAGTCCCATTGGCAGCGTCCCCCCCCCGTGCCCCCCGGCCTGCTGGGGCGCAGCTAGGCCCTGTCCAAAGAAGAGCTCGAGGCCTCGTCCTGCTCATCCCGCGGAGGCGGCCCTGCGCCCCACCTCTCCCCAGCGCCCCAGCTCCAGGGGCGAGGCCCACAGAGGGGCCCCCCAGGTGGGTGTTGGGGAGGGCGGAGAGGGCTGGGGCTAGAGCCCAGGCGGGGCGGGGGCGGGGGCGGGGCGGAGCTGGGTCCGAGACCGGCGGGGGCGCCTCCATCCCACGCCCTCCTCCCCCGCGCGCCCGCCCGCCCGCTCGCTCTCTGGTGACTCCGCAACCTGTCGCTCAGGTTTCTCCTCTCCCAGCCCCGCCCCGGCCCGGCCCCGCCGAGCGTCCCAGCCGCCCGCGGGAGACCGGGCGCCGCGGCCGAGGCGCGAACAGACGGACGCACGGGTGAGCGCCGAGGGGACAGGCCGAGCGCGGAGCGCCGGGAGCAGGTGAGCGCTGCGGACGCGGGGGAGCGCGCCCGCCCGGGCCTCAGTTTCCCCAGTGGTGATGGGACGCGGGGCTTCTGGTTCCGGACACCGGGCCAGGCGTGGCGTCGCAGGGCGCGGAGCACTTGGAGGGCGGCTGGGCCGGGGACGCGGGGCAGGGGGCTGGGGTCCTGGCCGGGCCCCCGCCTCTCCTGGACGGGTCCTGCTGCAGCCCGGCCTGCCCACGTCGGCCCTGGGCGGCGGCTGGCGAGCAAGGATATTTTTAAGCCAGCGATGGGTGACTCACCCGCCCCGTCCTGCCCCTTCCCAGCTCTGGGGCTTGGTGGGGGCAATCCCTGCGTCCGGGGAGCGCAGGTGGTACGGAGGCTTCTCCCGCTTCTGTGGGCCGCAGGACCTTCCCGAGGTGAGCACCGCACGCCCACTCCCTGTGGGCCGGAGCCAAGAGGCACTTCCTGGGTGTCAGAGCCCAGAAGGAAGCCAGTGGCCTGGGAAGCACCAGCTGGGTCAGTCTCCAGGTCAGGGTCGGGGGTGGGAGTTTCAGGGGGTAGGGGAGGCTGGGACGGGGGCTGCAGAGGCCCTGCCAGGTGAGGCAGTAGGGTGGGCTGGCAGGAGCCTGTGGGCAGGCGAACTTCGGCCATCCTAGATTCTTGGTCCCTGGGTCCAGCTGCCTGGTGTTGCCCCTTGCTGTGGGGTGCCCCTGGTGGCAGAGGAGGGGGAGGCAGGGCCGGGCATGCCTGGACCTCTGTCCCCACCCACCCCGTGCCCAGTCCCGGGGAGGCAGGCCCAGCTGGTGACGGCCCCTCCCCTCGCGGCCCCTCCTCCCCTTGCTGCCCCTCCTCCCCTTGCTGCCCCTCCTTGGTCCCAGCCTCTCCTGGGCCTGCTTAGCACCCAGGCCTTGTTGGCGCAGCGCTCCCACGGGGCCTCCTCTGCCTGCTTGGGTCTCCTTCCCTACCCTCAGCTTCCCCAGCTTATCCCTTTCTCCTTCAAGACGTAGCTTCCAAACCAGGACACGGCCAAGGCCTGAGAGGCACCCCCATTCCAGGGCCCCACCCGGCTCCCATGAGGGCAGCCTGGAGCCCCCATGACTCAGCTGACCCCTACCCAAGGTCACTCAGCATGTGGAGCTGGAATTTGAACTTGGAGCCTGTCTCTCTACCCTCTTGCCCTGCTGGGACCTCCTCCCCTCCACAGCCTGACTGACAAGGCACCCCGCTCTGCCCCACTTCACACCGGGAAAATGACCACAGTACAAAGTGCAGCCTGGGCCTCCAGGGCTTGGACCCCACCCCCAGTGGGCCAAAGAAGCTTCCCCAGGGGGGCGGGGCTCCCACGGGTCAGGAGGCAGCCCCATACCCAGGTGCTTCAGACCCAGACACCACACCTGGACCCACCCCACTGCAGCCCGGCCCTGCCTGGGCCTGAGGTCCCCCCCATACCCTGCAGGCAACCGAAGGACGAAGGACGGGAACATGGCCTTCCCCGGGGGGTCGTGTGTCACAGCCCTCTGTGTTTGTGTGCCTGCAGGCCTGGGTGCGAGGGCGCATTGGTGTCTTGCCCAGGTGTGTGCCTGGACACATGTGCCTGGCGCCCTTGGTGAACCCCGCCAGGAATCCCATTAAGCAAACACTCAGGCTTGCCACTGAGCCCGTGAACATTCCAGACATTCTCCACGGAGAGACAGAGGAAGTGGCCACGCCCCCTTGGTGCACCCAGCCCCTCATGGCAGAGGCAGTGCCCCCGGGCCCCCCAGACCCTCCCTCTAGGCCAGACCTGGTGAAACCAGAAAGTCCCGGGTACTGCGGGCCACTCCCTTGACCCTCCATACCAGCAACGCTGGCTGGTGACCCCCACCCTGGCAGACCCAAACTCTGAAGCCACAGGGGACGGCCCTGTGGCCCTGGCAGGAGGCGGATGGTGTGGACCTGTGGGGAGCTGGTCACAGAGCCACAGAACAGCCAGGTTCCCACAGGGCATAGTCCCCTTGGGGCAAGTCAGTCTGGTTCAAGGCCATCAGGCTCTGCCCATCCCCCTGGGAAGGCCCCAGGGTCCAGCCCAAATCAGACCCACCTGCCTGCCCTGGCAGCTGGGACTTAGTTTCCCCAAAATGCATCGGGGAAGAGGGCAGCGCTGGGAGCCCAGAGACAGGCTCTGGGGATTCTGCTCCTGGGGAGGCCAGAGGCGCCAGCTGCCTACCCCATAGCCGCCCTACCTCGTTGGAGGGGCAGTGATACTGTGTGTTGGGGCCACTGGACTGGCTCCCGGTCTCAGCCCCCACCACACCCGCCCTCCAGTCCCTCCCCTGGGCTCGGCTGCCAAGGGTCCTGTGCTGGCCGCGGGGCCACATCCCTGCCCTCGGGGTGAGGAAACGCCACACCCCGGGAACCCCAGGGTTTCCTGCCCGCACAGACTGTTCCCAGCCAGGCCTCCCAGGCCCAGGAAAGAACCAAGAGCTGGCCTCTTTGCTGGGGCCTGGACAGAGGTGGCATACGTGGGTGGCAAGTCCACATGCATGTGCAGGAGCCCCTTGGGGTGCAGGCCTGGGGTGGGGCAGGAGTGGCAGCTACAGCCGGGCTCCCTCTGGACTTCAGGATCCACCCCCACCCCCAGCTCCAGCCTCACTTCTCCTGCCATCCTGCAGCTCCCCCACCGCACCCCCTCCCCACCCCATCACACACTCCTGCCCCCCTCCACACCCCCTACCACACATTCCCATCCCCCTCCCCGCCCCCCCACTACACTCCCA